CACACAGCCAGCCATGGAGTAAGAGTGAAAGTAAGATACACAGAAGTAAGAAAAGGAAAAGGCACAGAGGCAAAAGGTAGATGGGATAATTTAAAGTTAGAAAAGCTGGCCAAAAATAAGCCAAGCTAAGGCCAGGCATTTATAAGAAATAATAGGTCTCCATGTGTATTTATTTGGGAGCTGGGTGGCTGGCATGCCCCCAAAGAGTAAAGAGTGAAAAACAACCAACTACATCTTAGTTCGGGTTTCAGTTGCTGTGGAGAGACACCATGACCATGGCAACTCTTATAAAAGAAAATATTTAGTTGGGGTGGCAGCTTACAATTTCAGAGGTTCAGTCCATGGTGGGATATGGCAGTGTGCAGGCAGACATGGTGCTGAAGAAGCAGCTGAGAGTTCTACATCTTGATCCATAGGCAACAGGAATTGAACTGTGACACCAGGTGTAGCTTGAGCACATATAAGACCTCAAACCCCATCTCCCGGTGGCACATTTCCTTCTCCAACAAGGCCACACCTCTGAATAGAGCCACTCCCTTTCAGGACCATTTTCTTTTAAACTCCCACAGGTGCCATCTGGGTCAGATCTGAGGCTTTCTTAACCAGCATTGTGTTCTTTTGCTCATCGCACAGACTTAGTCTCAAAGTTGACCACATTCTCATCATACTCATCAGTTAGAACTCCTGCCTGCATTCTCCCACAAGAAAAATCATGCCTCTCTCTGTACTCCTGTGAGGTGCGCATGTCCTTGGTTATGGCTGGTTTCACTGTGCATCACTGTGTCATGTAAGAGCTAAGTGTTAGAACTAGGACCAGTGAGACAGCTGAGTGAGCAAAGGTTCTTGCCTCCAAGTTAGTGACCTGTGTTTGGTTCCTGAGACTCACATTGTGGAAGGAGAGCTGAGTCAGTCCCAAAGGTTGTCCTGTGACCTTGTCATACAAACTCACATGTGCCCTCTTCCAAAAATAAATAAAAAGATATAATAAAGTATTAGAACTCGCTAGTCACTAGAGAATTCTTCAATTAAGCTCTTACCATTCAAATAATCTTGGGTTGATTTTGAAAAGCAATTTCAAATGTGATAATTGTGACAATACTAAGAAATGTTTAGGACCAAATACCTAGCTAAATAGAATCAGGAACAAAAAGAAAATGAGCAGAAAAAGGAACAACCCCAAATATGCAACAGTTAAAAATCAAAAGGCCTCCTCAGAGTGGTGTTTCAGTGCAGGGGAGCTGAAGACTCCATGTCTGTCACTTCCCCAGGACACTGGAGTCTGCTACCAGCTATTCTCAGATGTCAGTGAGTGCACGGGTCATTGGGAGGTTTGACTGGCTTGGCCCCACTTCCTGCTGATGTTGCGGGACCCCAGTACATCACGGTGAGCCCGGAAGACCTCTTTACCTTGCACAATAGTCACTGTTGCCAGCATCTCTTTCTCCTCCCTCCAGCCTCCATTTCCAGGCAATTCTTAATTAGACTTGTCAGGCATTTACCCTCTAAGAGGACAGTCTTTTAGGAAAAGTTAGGGGCATATGGGGTCTCTGTGCATGTGTTTTTCAGTAATGACAGAAACTCTGATTGTAAATCAACTAATTCATAAATGGGTCTCAGATTAATGAATTGCCATGGCTTGAACTGCTATGGCAGTGCTTCCAGAGGGTCTTGAGAAGCTGGGCTTTCCTGGGGTGGGAAGCAGATAGTAGCTTTGCCTTAGAAGGGGTGCCATACAGGTCATCCTACAGGTATTCTGGGGTAAGCCTGGACTTTGGAATTCATCTTCATCTTGTAGAAAGCTGCCCTCTGAGAGATGAAAGAGATGGGCCCACAGAATAGCCCTCCTTCCAGGACAAACTTTCTATAGTCTCACATAATTCAGCCTGTTCTTTATATATTTACAAACTTGCTCTTACTGTGGTGTGTGTGTGTGGGGGCACCTGTGTGTCAACTGTGTAACTGAAGGCTAGAGGACAACTTTTGTGAGTCCATTCTGTTCCACTGTAGAATAAGGGTGTTGAATTCATGTTATCAGGCTTATGTAGCAAGGGCTTTTATCTTGGCTGTCTCTTGCCATCATCTTTTTAAATAAAAATACCTACCATGTAGCCCAGAGTGGCCTCCAATTCCAGCTCCTTTTGGTTCCATGCTCAAGTGTCAGGTTTGCACACATCTGTCATCACACAGTTGGACTGTTTGGCCTTGATTCACATTAAGGTGATACTAAAGACCATTAGCCCCTGAGCAAACCCCTAAAAGATGCTTTGCAAGTGCAGAACCCTGAGCCAACATCCACTTTATTAGATAGACACAGTAGGTGTGTATTGAATGTGCAGAACTTCATTTTCTTTATCTGGAAGGAGAATGTCTGCAAAACTTTGACTACAAAGCTGATTAACTCACTAGTTCAGTGACATGGACAGTTTGCAATGTTGCAAGTTCAGAGCTAAATTATCTTGGCTTGTCTTTAGCCCACTTAGGAGTCGTTTATTCCCTTCCTGTGTATGTGACCTAATATCTTTGTGGCCACTAGTTAAATCATTTGGAATGGACAGAGCAATAGCTTCTAGCAGTGCAAAGGCTTAGAATGCCATCATATAGTGTCTGAGCCCTGTGACTGAGCTGTGACTGCCTACCTGATGTTTCTACCAATGTACTTGAAGAATGTCTTGATTTATGATTGCCTATATTCTTTTATTTAAAAGCTTCATGAAACTGTTTCCATGTTGGAAATGGAATTTGGAGTCACTTGAATCTGTGTTCCTGGACATGGTCACATGGTCTCATATTTGACTCCAGAATAATCTCTTTTCTCCCTTTTGAGCTGAAAGCTGTATTTTTGAATCGACAAGTCGAATCTCTTTATTTTGGGCTTCATCATCATAAAATTGACACTCTTAAGTTTTTACTAAGTAACATGTAATGAAAGATTTATCTTAATAGAGCCAAGGACTATTGACTTTTTGAGGTTCTTGGCTGTTTGTCATGGGAAACCACTTATTAAAATGTTTGCTGCAGGAAACTTTCTGAACTGTGGCAGCAGGTTGATTTACTCTGTGACCTTGGGTGCCACTCACCCCCTGGATCTGCTTCTGATTAATTTATATGTTTTAAATAGCTCTGCAGAGGGCCTCAGAAATCAGAACATAGCTAAAAGCAATCAGTGGCATACAAAGGTTACTACTGAAATAATAGGAAAATGTTACTAACAGTTAATTTTAAAAACACAAAGCAGCATCTAGTAGGGTTTTGTTGTTTCTTTTTTCTTTTTCTATTTATGAAGTGTATTCAGCTCTTCAGGAAGAGTCTTTCCCTTTGACTCTGTCTCCAGCCTGATTTGTAGTTATCTACTGCCATCAACAAACTACCCTGAACCTCGGCAGTGTGAAGTAGCAAGGCTGCATTGTCACAGAGTCCCCTTTGGGTACATCATCGCTGGGTTCTGCTGCCACAGACTCTCCTAAGGCTCCAGTTAAGGCTCTTCTCTTATCCAAAAGCTCAGTAATGGACATCTCTCTTCCTGGTCACATACAGGGCCATTCGCAAGATGCAGTTCTTTCTGGGATGTTGACCAGACTCTTCCTTCTGTTCCTTGCCATGTTAGCCACTCCATAGGGCAGTTTACTATATGACAACTTTTGTTTTGTTTTCTTCGTAGACAAAATCTCTCTCTATAGCTGCTGGCTGACCTGGAATGTATCTCCACCTTCTGAGTACTAGGATTAAAACATGCACCACTGCACATAGCTTGATATGACAGCTTTTGACTATGGAGCAAGGAAAGGAGAGGGATGAAGATCACGGTCTTCTTCCAGCCTTTATCTGAAGGGACATATTGCTAACTGTATTCTGTTTATTGGAAGCAGGTACAGTCCATACCCAAGGTTACAAAGGATGTTAATACTATCAGGCAATACCTTTGGGGACCACCTTGGTCTTTCTATCACACACAGTAAAGGCTGAATAAATATGAGTTGAATCCTTCAGTAGAGCTTGCTCTCTGTCCTTTACTGTGAGATGCATACCACTCCTTGTTTGCAATGAGCTTAGGTTGGTTGTGAATAGACTTAACAGCCATGATATAATATAGATCAAGGACTCATGAGTCCTTGCAGGTACCCTTTATTCTGCAAGTTTGGTGACTTTATAATGTGTTATATTCTTGCAATTTGCCAACAGTAGATATTAATTTTTTTCACCACCCCCACACAAAGGTTGAGTTGATAAATATGTTAATTGTTTGATTCTGGTAATTATTTCACCATTTGCATGTATAACAATTGTGTGTATGTGTGGTATTGCTTTGTTTTTTTGCCAGTTCTACCTCATTTAGACTGGAAAAAATAAAATTCCCATGTTCACTCTCAGGGTGCTGATACCCAATTGCCTTTGAATTTTAGCTTTGATTTTTTTCCTTCCTTTTTTCCCTTTCACATTGATCTATTCATTTCAAGATTTCAAGACTTTATTCCTGGCGCCACATCTCCCACCACATAGCCAGAGTTTTGAACGCCAAGTTTTATAATTAAAATTCTGTTGCATTCCCCCAAAACAGCACAAATGGTGCCATTAAGCCTGGAAGAAAAGATTCGTAAGCACTTTACCTAGTAATTTAAATATAACACTCTGGCAGCATTGGTTTTGGGTATTTTTAATTCTAATTAGAACACTATTACTGAACATTAATATCTCCTGCACTGTGCTCCGTTGTGGTCTCTGGTTCATTTTGGATATCTAGCTTTTAAACAAACAGCTTGGGTACGTGACTATAGCAACCCACATGGTTTCCTGTGGCCTTTGGGAATCACTAGGTGTCCAGTGTAATTAGTGTAAATCAAAATCCTCTAGATAGTGACAGGAAAATGGTATGTTTGGACAGCACCGCATCAAAATGACCTATTTAATTTAAGAAAAATATTGTTTCCACTTGCATGCTAACCTGAATGCCGTCACTGACAGATTTTTCTATCATCCTTCCCCACCTTTTTTTTTTTTCTTAGAAAAGGAAAGGGAATGGAAAGGCCCATTCTACTTCATCCAAGGTGCAGACCCCCAGTTTGGGCTGATGAAGGCCTGGTCCACTGGGGATTGTGACAATGGCGGAGATGAGTGGGGGCAGGAGATGCGTCTCACTGAGCAAGCTGTTGAGGCCATCAACAAACTGAACCCAAAACCCAAATTCTTTGTTCTTTGTGGAGACCTCATCCATGCTATGCCAGGTAAGCTTTGGGTTGTCATGGGTAATCTTTTCTTCTTGAGTTAATCCTGACCAAGTGTAGGCAGGAAACGTAGATTTTCCTCCAAAGACATCTCTGTTTGGTATTGTTCTTACTCTTCAAAGTAGTTGTGATATCATTAAATATCAGAAAAAGCATACTAGCTTTATATTTAGAACTTGGCAAGATTAACAACAGTAAGTAGGCCTGGTTACAGTTCTGGTGATCCAAGCTTAGTAGGAAAATACATCCCTATGTCACCTCGCTATGTTTCCAGGGACAAACATTACAACTTCCACACACCATGTCTGTAATTTTTAACTCTTTTTTTGTTTTTGTTTTGTTTTTTTTTTGTTTTGTTTTGTTTTTCGAGACAGTGTTTCTCTGTGTAGCTTTGTGCCTCTCCTGGAACTCACTTGGTAGCCCAGGCTGGCCTCAAACTCACAGAGATCCACCTGCCTCTGCCTCCCGAGTGCTGGGATTAAAGGCGTGCGCCACCACCGCCCAGCTTAACTCTTGTCTGTAACTGTAAGCTGGTCCCGTCTTTAGCTGTCTCTCTTTAGATTTTTATTTATGTGTATGGGTGTTTTGCCTTCGTGTATGTATGTGCACTGTGTGTGCAGTACCTGCACAAACCAGAAGAGGCATAAGAGCCTCTCAAACTGGAGTTCCAAACTTTTGTGAGCTACATGTGGCTGCTAAGAATTGAACCTAGGTGCTTTGCAAGAGCAGCAAGTGCTCTTAACCGCAGAGCCATCTCTCTAACTCTACTCGCTTTGCTTTTTACACTTTTATTTCTCCCACGTGTGTTGTTGCTTTAGGTATATCTGGGTCCAGGGCTCAGAAGTTGTTATCTGATTTTGATCTCCATCTCTCAGCTATGCTTTCCTCTTAGTTGACTTCATTTGCAGTCAGGCTCTCTAGATAGTGGCTATAAACTAGGGAGTTCTAGGGTCATAGAAATCACAACAGAAACAAAGTGACCTGTTTTGGATGGTCCAGTCAGAGTCACAGACCACATTTACCTGACTTACATGTGCCCAAAGCTAAATTGTGAGGTTATCTCTACTACAGCCATGTGGTCTGAAGAATGGGGTGGTTTTCCTAAAGAAAAGTAAGATGCTGGGCCTTGAGCATCTCTGTTCGTGTGGCCTGCTGCTTTTACCATGTGTTCTGATCTTTTCTATTGCTTTGTTCACAGGAGGAGAAGGGGAGGGCAAGAGGGAAGAGCAAAGGAGCAAGTGAGGAGAACAGGAAGAAGCAGTGCTTGGAAATTTCTGGAACTCTCTTCCTTCTCTCCAACACTGAGTAGCCTTCTGTCTCAGATAGGCCCTCCACCCAGTGATTAAATGTAAGCCAGTAGACAGTGGCCCTTGCCATCAGAGGCAGAGGTAGCTGCCATGGCCTGTTCCCCTTCCCTGCCGGTCTCTCTTGCTATAATAGAAGTGACTTGAAGACCAGGGCAGAAATCATGAGCAGTGCCTGGGGATATCTGCATTTGTCTAACTTTACTTATATTAACTGCTCCAGAAGCAGAGATGCTTTGCAAAAAGCTGGGCACATTGCAGTGATCAGTATCCAGCTCCTACTGTCTAGCCACCTGTGTGTCCAGAACTAAACCCAGAGTGAAGATGTGATGGAAAAGGAGCAGCTGGAGCTGTTTGTTTTGTTTTGTTTTGTTTTGTTTTAACATTCATGGGGAACAACAAGCAGGGAAAATTCTCAGGAGTGTCCTTGTCTCTGTTCACTGGTGTCTTACACAAAGTCATGCATATGGTCATGTCCACATTGATGACTCCTGGACTGGGCCTATAAAAAAGTAACAGAAAGAGAGAACAGAAGACAGTCACCTCAGTTAGAACCCAGGAGCCTGGGCTACCAGCTCCCTGCCCACTTGTGATGAAGTAGGTGGGAGGAGACAATGCCCTTACCTCAGGCTCTCAGTTTTTGAGCCAAGAATCCACAGAAGCAGCAAGAATGTAAAACCACAACACAGCCTGGGGCTGCATAGTAGCTAGAAAGCAGAGCTGAGCAATGGAGAGAGCCAGACCCTGTAACAACTTTGGAGTTCCTGCATCCAGACACATGGCATGGGGACAGCAGCACCCTACCTGTACAATAGAGCTGACCATCTGGGCAGCTCCATACACAAATGTATTTGTGAAAATAGTCCTTTGTTTTGTAGTGAAGTTAAATACTAGCTACTCATAGACTTAACCTTTTTTTTTAATGACTTATGGCCAAAGGTTCACAGGTGTTAAGATACTACAATGTAGAAATAGCTATTGGCCTTAGCTTCTGACATACTAAGGCAAACTAAGGTGATGGATTCATTGACCCAGCACATTATTGTTATTTCTAAATGGTCTGCTTTGCAGTTAGCTGGTATCTTCAGGGCGATAGGGCCCCATGTGCCATCAGCTTGGTATTGTTGTTCTGGACTGCATGGTGGGCAAAGGTCTGGTTCTATTGACCCCTGAACATGACACAAAACCAGCATTTTTCTGTTCAGTTGCTTCAGGGTATCATGAGACTCCCTGGAATTATATAATATGTCCCCGTGGATGTTTACCAACTTGTTCTGAATTATGTTAATATATTCAGTCACATTTCAAAATCAGATGTAAAATGAAAGCTTTTCTTGCAATTGCATTTCTTCTTAAATAGAATATACTGAATACAAATAAATGAAAAGATACATTTTTATGATCAATCCTAACCATTGGTCAGAAAATCTTAAAATGTGAGCCTGCAAACTCCTGAACATACACTTTATATCCAAGGTGACTGGATCAAAAGTCATAATCTCCTCTGAAGATGTGGGCTGTGTTGAGGGGTTTTAGCTGAGCCAGATAGAGGACTTTACCTGTTTTTGAATATTTTGTCTGAGATTAAACAGAATGCTTTAAAGCTAGTTACATTTTTTTAATATGCAATAAGTGCTTCCCTCATTTAGCGCGTATGCCAGGGCTGACTAGAAAAGTAATTATTTGCTTTGACTGTTTAGCACATTGTTAATGACCAAATGCATATATTAATAAGCAAATAAAATCAGAAGGCATGCTTTTAATTCTACCATAAATAGCATCTTGGGTCAAGTAGATATTAACTCAAAATGAAGCAAAGGAACTTTCCAAATAATGGTTTTTTTTTTTTTAGTGAAAGTAATAATATCCTTTTTCATTGTAACTATCCACTGTAATATTCATTCATCCACAAATATTCATTGAGTGCAGAGTAGGTGCCAATTACAGCACTGGTCACTGTGGGTATAACAGTGGAAATGAGAGATCAAGGCCTTTTGCAGAGCTGAGAGTTGATGCATAGGTGGTGGGAGGCGTCACTGTGCCAAGGCTCCAGCTTGGTTTTGGACAAACATGCCTTCATTTTACAGGTACACTTATGATTTTTAAGTGGCTTTTTATTTGCTATTATACCTTCTCTGTGAGATTAACCACATTAAAAGTGGCAAATTAAGATCTTGTATATGTTACTGAGACCATTGATTTCCAGTCCTTCAGCTCTCAAGCGCAGGGTGACTTTTGTAGGCTCTCCTGACATTGATTCATCGACCCACCGAGAGTGTCCCCAGGAGCCTTGTTAGAGGCCAGCAGTTTCATGTGGATGACCAATCAGAATGCGATGGTGTAATTATGGAACAAGAGATTCCAGTGAGCCTCTTGTGTTTTACTAACCACGTGTTCATCCCTGTGTATTTGGACTGCTGTTACTCCATGAAACGGACAATACAGGCTGATTCTTCCCTTACATAAAGTGTCTTAGAAGAGTTCTTGTATGTTACCTCTGCCTAAGCAACTGTGGCAGGCTTGAGTTCCTAGTGAGCATTAGCCTCAGGAGCTCCATTCTGTAGAGGGAGGCAATGTTCCCATCGTTCATCTTCTGTAGCTGCTGAAACAATGCACACTCCCTCAGATCTGGAGACACAAAGTGCATATGAATCTGTAGGGCTGTGCTCCTGGGAAGCCTCTCCCATCTAGAAGCTGTGTGCATTTCTTGGCTTGTTGTACATCTACAAAGCCTATAGTCTTGTGTCTTCTCTGGCCTCTGCTCCAGCTTCTGGCATGCTCCTCAATCTGACTGGCCTCCCTCCCTCCCTCTCCCTCCCTCTGATACTGATCATTGTGATTACACTGGGCCTACCTGATAGCCTAGAGTAACCTCTCAGTCTGCAGTCTCCTTTGCCATGGCAGATAAGGTACTTACAAGTACTGGGAGTTAGCATGTGGACATCTGAGAGCGGGCTTTATTCAGGCCACCATAGATGACTTGTGCTGAGTGAAATTCAAGGTCTATAACCTGCTTAGAACAGCAATGCAAAACAGATGCAATCGTTACACGATTTCCATTTTTGCTGGCAGGGTAACTGGCTCAGACCATGGAAGTGCCTTCTCTTAAGGCCTCGTAGCCTAAATGTGGTGGACTCGCTTCCTTTCTAGACCTCCTGCACTTCCCACATAAGGTTTTAATAGTTACTATTAAAAAATGTGACCCAGAAAATGACCAGAGCCTCCTGGAAATGGAGCATCTCTGCCCCAGGCAGATCTAGCAGGTCTTTATGAGTCACCAGATGAACCATACAGACAATAAGGCTTGAGGTGCATAGGCTTACCAGACTAGAATGCATAGGCCCAGCGTGTTCTGCTTTTCATGTATTATATATAAAATACTTGTGTGCCTGCCAGGAGCCAGTGAGAATTCCCTTCAAGTGTTATCAATGATGGCATTTAAGCAAGAGAACCATCATTCCTTTATTCATTTGCTCAGGTTTCAGAGGAAATGCTTTTGAATGTGTAGGTTTTGTTTTACTCCTTAGATACTCTGAGTAACTAAAGCAGGATGATCTCTCCTATAGAAAACGCCCACAGCAGCATGTTAGCAAAGTGCCTTGGAAAACAGGCACACCCATTTTCTTTAACTGGATTTGTACATAGATAGCCAGGACTGGGTTTTTTATTTGGATCGCGTACATGCAACAGAACTCG